TTATTACATATATATATATATATATATATATATTTCAACGAAGGACACATCATATAAAATTAAAAAAAAATAACCAAACTTGCCCCTTCATGAGTTCTTTTTAGAAATTCATAATCTTCCTTCAGTGACTGATTCTGATTGTGAAGTGCAGTATTGGCAAGCGCCTCATCTTCAACCTGTTTTCGCAATATCTCCAACTGCTGCTTCAGATCTTCATTTTCGGCAAGCAAGTTCTAAAAGTGATATTTATAACAAAAAACCCAGAAAAATTTTAAAATGACCCAGAAATAATGTTAACCTTGTTCTCATCCTCCAGATGTCTTCTCATATTATCGGCAGAATTTAGTCTCGCCTGAAGATCCTGTATAAGACTGTCGTTACTTAGACGGAGCTTTTCGGATTGTTTCAATTCCTTTTCAAGCTTTCCAATCTTAAAATAAGCAAAGCATCAATCCAAATTTAAGATAAAGATAACTAAAATCAAAAACTGGATAAGCTGATAAGGAGCAAAAATTTGGGTAGATTAACAATTCTTCAAATAAAAGTATAATTAATTCCACAAAATAAATGAACAGAGCAAACAATTTCGAGTAGTAAAGCAACAACATATTCCACTCGAGGCTGTTTACCTACTAAACATTAAGCTACTTACTCTAGCGCGAAGGTTATCACGTTCGGCAAGCGCCGATTTTGCTTCCATATTGACGCGAGTTTTCTCTTTCAAAGCATCATCAATTAAATCGCGCAACTCCTTGACTTTCGCCTCATAACGCGCTACCAAATCATGTCGTTCTTTCTTTTCGACCACTTCGCTTTCGTTTATACGGACATTCAAGCGCTCATTTTCGAGTTCAAGCTGCCGGACTCTCTAAAAAAAGACAAGATGGTAAGGAAAAATTCTGGTTGCACTTTTTTTCAACGACGAACTCATTTTTTGCAAACTGCCTTCCGTTATAGTATACAATGAATAACTAGAGAATAACTAACAAATATAAAATAAGGGCTTCTACTTTTGAAAAAAAGAAAATGCAAATACTCACGTCAATATAAACAGCGAGACGGTCGTTCAAATTTGATAACGTATCCTTCTCGTACTGTCGAGTTCGACGACTAGGTGAAACCGAAATGCTGGAAAAAAAAATGAAAACTGTCTAATAAATGTCAGAGAATTCTATTTCAGTAGCAACTTTACCAACAAAAATGACGTCAGTAAAATGTTTCCAGTTATCAATAAAAAAATAATCTCTTAAAGTAGAAATCATAATGACAACCTTCTACTGAAATCTGCCCACAACGATCAGTTGGTGGGTCTGAATTTTGAAATTGGAAAACTCCATTATCTTTTCTTTCCACCAAGAGCTCAGTTTCCGAGCTCAGAAAAAAAAAATTATACTTCAAAGAGGATTCATTTCCATCTCCACCGCTCTCCACAAGAATCGGATATTCGGCTGATGCGATTCGACTGCTTGATGCTAGACTAGTCGTACGAGACGATGAACGCTTTTGCTTCGACGCAGACATTCTTTTTTTGTCAGGATAACCTTTTAGGCGCGCTGAACAATTAAATTACTATAAATCACAATAAATTGCAACATACATTTTGTAAAAGTACGTTAGTCCACTACATCTCTTAACAATGTAGTGGAATATATACATACCATCAAACGGAATACAACTCAGCAAAAAATTTCAGAAAACTCCACCAGTAACACAACTAAATGCATGCTTCTATCTATATAAGCACAAGTATATGAGTAAAGAAAAATATAAGAAAATTTTGACTGCTGCCAGGATAATTTAGAAAGTTAACACTTTAAAACTCATCAAGAATTATTATCAAGATAATCGTCGCAATAAGCGTGTTAAGAAAGAGAGAAAGATTGAAGAGGACGCTACCGCGTATCGCCAAAGGCTAATGATTAATGTAACATCGAAAATAGAAGCATCAATTAGACGGAGTAATATATTCTGCCTGTATATCTTGCTAGTTAAGTAACACACATTTATAAAGAGATAGTAACAACCGCACTCGCAATGCAAAATGATTGCGCAGGCGCTTCGCAATTGGCACAGCGTCGCCCTTCATAGCTTAGAATGAATAAGCCTGAGCAACGCCCATCCTCTCCCACTAGCACAGTCTCTCAGCATTCACTCAGTTTCCTTTATGAACTGAGTACTAAAGCAAAGTTACAGCTAACTGCAAACATGGCTATGCAACATATGTTGTAACGTTGCCAACTGCACCGAACAATAACCGCTAACAATAGCGAAAATCACCCACGACCGCACGCCAACACTGTCCACAACGAATACCTATCGCTCTCTCTCCGCTTCCCTCAATTACCATTTTATGAACGATACGACCACCCATTATGCAAATCTGAATTTCACTGACAACATTTTAGAGTGCCGAATCGATTCACATGTACGTTAGTATGAGTTTAATAAATGAAAAATCTCATGGTTGACGAAAAGGGCAGCCAAATATACCTTTATTAGTGCTAATAATAAATACTTTTAACTGTCCATTTTCTTTATTTGAATTTTGCACGAAAAAAAGAAAGTCATGCTGATAATATCGCTGATAGTGGTAATGCTAGCAGTATGCTCTCAAAGATTTTCACCTCCAAACGCGTAAAACTGAATGGCATTTGTCCGATTACATCGTTTTCCTTCAGAGTGTACGATTGTCATTAACAATTCTAAATGAATTGATGTGATTAATTATGTAAAACGCAGTACACCAATTAGTCTATGACACTTTAAAGTTTAATGTAATTGCTATCAGTTTTGTCTGAATTGATACAGCGATCAGTGATAGCGATAAGTGAGTTTTTATTTTTCATTCATATTTAATCCTAAACGTATTTACAAATTGAACAGCTGATATCATTTTGTGAGTTCATTTTAATCGATTCGATGGAAGTGCACTCAACCAGGATAATTTCGACTATTATGAGAGTATGTTATTCGGAAAAATATGTGTGAGTGAGTAAAAATCAGACATTTGGAAGTAAATCTAAGTGCAGTCATATTTTAAATTTAAGAAAAACAAGTCAATCGGAGTATTTGTTAGCCCACCATTACCTGAATTTTCCAATTAAATATATTCTGATGCATTAACTGTTTTCATACAATAATAGTTCCTTCCATTCCTTTTCAAGAAGTTCACGACTATTTTCAACGTTATTGTTTATCCTGAAGTTCGATTTTTTTTTTTTTTGGTCTACCAAATATATTTTTAAAGCAGAAATATTAGAAGTTAATGAAAATATATAAGTATTTTTAACTTGATTAAAACGGCAACTCATAGATTGAATTTAAAAGTAATTATCAAATTTATCTATGCAGCAGAAGATTGTCGCTTATCCTTCCGCATTTATGCAATTTAATGGTAATATATTGTTCCACTGGGAGAGTATGAGAAGGAACAGACCACATGATTCTTCTGCTTTTTACCGGATGACCTTCTCAGGCTAACCTCTTTATGCTCTCCTCCCACATCCTTGTAAAGCGATTTCTCTCCGCGGTTCGTTTTTGTTAGTCGGAGTAAAACGGTAGAGGGGCGGTAAATCACATCTCAATCACCCTTGCAAAAACCGTTTGCCCCATGGCAGGCTCGAACTGCCGACCTTCGCATCTCCCAGTAGCACTTATAAGTACGACGCGCTAACCAACTGCGCCAATGGGGCTGGCACAGGTATTCCCATTACAATATATCAGATACTATTTCCACTTTAATATTATCAAATTGTGGATAAAATCATTTTAAGCCTTAGGGAAGGAGAAGATCAACAGGCCTTTTCCTCATGACGACGATTCACTCTTGCAGTATCGGTTCCACCAATACTCAACAGCTATTTTAGGATTAACAAAGTGACCATTTTGAGGCCATAAAATTTATATGCTAATTTCATAGTTACTTGTTAACAAGAAGACGGAACCTCAACGAAATGGTAACTGGCGTCATCTTATCATTGTAATCAAAAAGTAAGCGTGACTTTCACATACTCGATTGAGAGATTTTCTGTCAATTTACCATGATATTTCAAAATCATCTCAAATTTTCACACATCTCACATCTTAATACTTCAGTGTGATATTTTGTCTTTGACCTTTTACACTTTCAAGCAAAAAACTAAAGATCAGCGTTAAATGTTGTAAATTAAACTCAATTAGACTTTAAATTAGGCTCAGATAAAAAGAAAAAGAATAAAATTAAAAAAGAAAGCAATCAATAAAATAACCTCTTTTCGTTTAAATAAGCAAATTTAAGGAAAATAATTTTAGATGATTGTATTGTTAACAATTCTTCATTTGTTTTTAATTTGCGCTTTAACGAAAGCATTGAGCAATAACATTCAATAAATGCTATCAGAGGTGTGCGGATTTTCTGCTTCCGGAATCTTTACTCAGTGCCAGCCAGCTTCGGATAGCTTTATCGTAAAAGTTTAAATGCTGAGTTCATGAATCACGGTGAAATCATGAATTAATCTTCGCACTTTTATCTATTCAATACTTTTAATTTTTGACTGTCACAATATGGAAATTTAATTATTGATAAGATGTTGATAAGATGCTTAGATAAGAATTGATATCAATTAACTAATTTTTCCAGCACTCTTAAATTTATCTCAAATCACTTATCAAATGATTAAATAAATATGCAGCAGGACAAAAGTAAGTCATTAAATCAATGGGATTTTGTATTAAGCGGTGGCTTCAATAACATCTTCAAACTTCAATTATGATGACAGTAATCGGAATAGCTCTCATTATATTCCATTCTATCAGTAACTGCGTCACGCAACATTGTCAAGGACAATTAGCAATGAATACTAAGCATCTTTGGTTTAAGGCGGTATAAATATTTGCATATTGTGGAATTTTAAAGCCAATTTAGAAATCGTACTAAAAACTTCAGGCTTGTTTTTTTAACAAATAACACTTTTGAGTTTCTTTTTGAATTATCAACAAAGATTTATATTCGTTATATGAATTAAGAAACAATCAACAATGAACGTAATGTGTAAATAACAGTTTCCGATTTACAGTATTACAAACGAATGCAATGTACCGGACACACAACAAGTTCATCATTGTGCAGCATGAGTCGAATCCTTACCGGTAAAGGGTCAACTGTTATCAATGTGAACTGTCCACCAAATAAGTTTTTTCTTTTTTTCATTACTTATTTTAAAGATTGGGAAAGTACCGATGCAAGCAAGTAACTTCAAGAAAAGTTAGTAGTGAATTTCAGTAAAGAAATTAGTTGTGAATTTATGACATCAAAAGAAAGCGAATATTCATGCCAGTATTACAAACAATCAAAAACCAAAGAGCTTACACAATTCTGTTGTTGTTTCGGGTAAAACGAAATTTCTCGTATTAGCAACTGTCATTTCGGAAACACCGTCACCTCAAAATTACTGTCGTAAACAATTTAACATATATTTTTCGACAAGCTTTATTATTGTCAGTTTTCAAGATCAATTTATTCTTTAATTTCTTTCTTGATTTTTCATTAAGATAAATTTAGAAAAAAGTAATGAATTAGGCAATGTTAGGTAAGGCAGTTGAAAATTTGAAAGAATGAAGGAAAAAAATTTTAACTTCTAGCAAAATAAAAAAACTTCGTAAAGTATTCCTAATTATCGTGTTTTCAGCAAAAAATGCTATCAATCGATGAATCGCTTAGAATATGGACAACGTCCATTACATGGTTTAACTGTGGATCCAATAACGGCTACTTTCTTTGCATTTACATTCTTCATTAATATTTTAACAGTTAAATTATTCTATAGTGATTTGACCAATGCTATCATATCAATCTATCAGATGTATTCCGGTACAGCACCATCGAAAATTCGACAGTCACATTATAATTTGCTACGAAATATGGAAGAAGTTAGTCTTTTTTCTTCTTTTTCAACTCCTTTATGCTCAATTCAAGCAACCAACAACAGTTTTGTAGTCAACTATGAGGTCGCTACAGTTCAATGACTTCAATGAAGACATCTCACACAATAGGTTCAGTGCAAAAAGCAACCATTAAATGGAGTAAATATTGAATATAATTTATTCTTAATTTGATTTCTAATTTGAAGCATAAAATGACAGCTTAATTTGCAACTGTAAAAATTATACTGAATCATTTTGAGATAAAAAATATGCAAAATTAGCAAAACGCTTGTTCTACCAAGCGTAAGATTACTTGCTTAAGTCATACATTATGGACGCTTCATTAGCAGTTATGTTAATTTCAACTGAATAAATTGGAAAAATTATGAATGACTGTCTGCATTTTAGTGTCAGCCTAATAAATCTACGTCTGGAAAATTAGTGAAGAATTAATGAACAAAAAAAATTTAACACAACAGTTTTTCAGAAAGTTATCTCATGGAATACGTGCATATCGATCAACACGAAAATGATAACCTTTTTAATGCAACCGAGAAATAAACAAAATACTAGCGATGATGTCAAGTTTACATTAGATATTTGGCAGAAGAAGTTCAAAATGGCTGAATGTCATCAAGGAAAAAAGCAATCTATGAAAAATGAGGCTTTGGCAAAACATTATGATAGGAGTGAGCGATCACTTCGACAGGTTACTTTATTATTTGACTCACTTGCATACGCTGTGCATTACTGATAATGAGTAGCAACTGATTAGATTATTTTTAAAATTTACTCTATTATAGGAATGGTATAGGAATAGTACATTGATGAAAGTTAGTTACTCACATTGGCGTGCTCAAGAACGGAATCAGACGGGAAAACAAATGCGTAGAACACTGAAACATCTTTTTGAGCTATAACATTTCTTATTAATTTCTGAAATGTTTATCAGATTGCAAAAAAAAAATCAATATAAGCAATCACTGCATGATCGTACAAACGTATTGTGAAAATGATCAGAGCTGTTTGTAAAGCTATATGTATAATTAATTCTTAAGAAATTTGAAGATTCGTAATTAGCGGAAAACGATCCTGGCATTATATGAAATTTGTTTAATTCTTAAGAAAGTAAAGATGTGACGATATTTTTGCTTCAAATCATAACAATCTTCTCTCCTCCAACTAATTAATGATCACCTCTGTAGAATTAACTAACATCTATTCGACAACCTCAACATAAGTTACTGAATTTCAGAAATAATATGTATTTTCCCTCATACCTCTGAAATTATTTTAATTTCAAATTGATAAGGTTAGTTCATGAGACATTATACTATATGACTATAATGTTTGATGAGCAACATGCAAGATTATGGCTAACGAAAAAACCAATCTTTATTTATCACTATAGATGAACGGACAGTTCTTTTTATCTTCAAACGACTAGCAATAACTTAACTTCGCTGATTATTGAACCATTTTCAATAAATAAGATTCAAGATGAGATTCGAGAAAGAATAGATGAATCAAACGGCGAACTTAGACGTAACCAATTTTGCAACTGGTCGGAGTTTCATCCTGTTCGTTTTCGGCCCACAGTAGTAATCTTGTAATGGATAAAATCATCAAGGTAATTGAAACAAATAAGATTGCCCATTTTTGCTTTCACTATCAAAATCTTGTCATTATTTAGCTCACACGCATATCAGTTTCCAAAGTAGTTACTATTAGATCGACCGCAGTTTACGTTTATCTCTTTTAAATTTTATGTATAACAGGAATTTTTAGAAATTAAAACTTATATTTATTTTTATTTGAAATTCTTAACACACTATTCAATATCAATTGCTCAATTATTATATATGAACAATGGAATGACCAGCTAAGGAGATATTTAATACCACGATGCATATAAAGAAGGCACAAGATATATATCACAGTCTTTCAGCAATCAACCGATTTGAAAAACGTAAAATCTTATCAAACAGACATTATATAAATTGGAAGAAGTCAGGGAAGGAACAGACAAAAAAAAGATCAAACAAGGATAGGAAAGAAAGAAAATCAACGATGACAAAAAAATATTTCAGACTGGTTATAAAAACCGCTAAATTAAAGACTTGTTATTCTATTGTTCTAAAGATATACATTTGAAAATCACCAAATTAAGGAAGTGAAATGATTGCCACATTTTGCAAAGCTAACATATCTCCATAGATCATTGCATTCGCAATTGATAATCACCATTTTGTGTGACGTAACGTACCCATGGCAATGCTTGATATCCACTTTTTTCAATAATTTTCAAGTAACGAACCTAAACAATTCTCTTAGAAAATACAGTGAAAAATAAATTAAAATTAAAACAATCACACCATTCTGGTAGAAGTACCAGAAACTTACCTGAAGGCCACTTGTTGTAAAGTACGGAATTTCAAACTTTACTGAAATTGGCGGTTTTCTCTCCGTCTCATCACCCACAATCGAAGGCAAGCAAAAATGCGCGCGCATTAGATATTCACGACCACCTGGAAATCATTCACTAATCTGTTAGATAATTAGATCAAAAAGTAGAGCATTTGTTGGAATATTCCAAACAATACAAGATCTGAAACAAGAGATTCCAAATGTTAACCAGGAAAACTTCGAATCATCCAAACAAATGCACTCAGCTCAGGAACATATTTTACTGAACCAACAGAAGTTTTGAATTTAGGCGAATCTGCATCACTGGGCACAGGTATAATGATCTCCACATGATTTGCAATAGACTGACGTTTGAACTGAGATTTCGCCTGGACATAAATGATAAGTGATTATGAGTTTTTTAAAAAAAAATTTCCAAAGAAGCATAATTATGTCAATATATCATGAAATTTAAATTAGATAGATAAGAGATAATGAATCACCTTCACCATATATTCAACTCTAGAATGAGCATGCTTCTCCATGCAAGCTTCCACCCATATTAAAGGTTTCACAGTTGTTGTTAAGCGATAATTCATTAGTTCAAACTCTCCATCAGGTGGTACAAAACTTATAGTACGATCGTTTTCAAACCGAGATAATCGCACACACTGATGGAATTTCACATCTTCTAATTCTACAGCTTTACCTCGTCCTCCTGAAGATTAGTTTCAAATTCCTAACATATCAAACACACTTTAACAAATGAAAACGCAAAAAAAAATCTTAACAAACGAAAAGTACAAACAATTTGGAATACAGTTGAAATTAAAAACACATACTTGAATATGCTTGGAAAAGCACTTTGTCGTTAAGCCCAAGGCGTAATTCAGGCATTCCAGAAAGCAGTACCCGCATCTTAATTGTCCCAACAATTTCGCTTCGCAATACGGAACCAGAAGCATTAACCTACGTCAACAATTTATATGAAATAGAAGTTTAATAAAAAGTAAGAGAAAGTCGTTTCATTTATTCAAAACATTAGTCTTTCAACATCAATTCTAAGCTCACCAACATATTAACTGATTCAATGACATCAAGGAAAACTTCGTTCTTGCGATATTTCAAACCATCCGAACGCCAAGAAACTGCATTCGTTACAGCCATTGGAGGTCTCGGTGCAATATCAAGCATATATCGTTCTTGCGTAATGTACCTAAACACCTGCTGTTTGATGACTGGAAAATAATTTCCTATTTATTTTATGATGTATTAAAGAAATAGTTACTCCTGCAAAATACGGCTCTCCGTTGTTTGAGGATAACCGAAATCCATCATCTCATCCAGAAGTTCATAGAAAACAACAAAATTATCTCGTACTGATTCCTCTTCAAAATCCTTAAAAAAGATCAGTAAACGAATGTATTAAAATGTTCAGTGATATGATACATAACATAAAAAACGCAAACTGCTATAACGCAAACTGCTATAATCAAACTCACAGAAGAAACAAACCTTAAAATATTCACTGAATACTTCAATACATTTATATAGGAAAGCAAGCATCATTGCAACATTAACGTTTTTTTTTGATATAGAAACAACTGAAAATAATTAAAAAATTGCAAATGTAAAGTTAAAGGACAAAAAATGATGACTTTGTACTTTTCGCCAACTTGATTGAAACTCAGTGACTTCCTGCATTAGAAACGTACTAATGTGAGTGTTTCATACATATGCTCTTTTTTAATCAAGTACATATTTTGTCAATCGTGCTACATACAAACAGTTTCTAAATCTTATAACTTATATATTGCGACTATTTAAAGGTGAGAGAGTGATAATGATTTCGAATATAATTTCAAAATTTTCCTATCACAAAATCACAAAGGAAAGAGAAACCTACGAAATAAGTTGAGATGTTTGACGTAAACATAGCTGATATCATGCTTTTGCAATACGGGAGCTAAAAGACCCTCATCTTCTTTCTCCATTAGCAGGGACATGAAAGAATCAATTACGGACATTTCCACGTCTCCTCGATAATTTCGTGACATTATCACCTACATCAAACAATCTTTTTTTAGCAGTACACGAGAAGACACTCCACCTCTCATTTATTATTATAAATATGAATAAAAATCTGATAATTAATTAATTCTATCGCACCGTTCTAATATTTCAAGATTGCCTCTCTAGTGGCTATGACAAAATTATTCAAAAAAGTTACATTTCCTTTCAAATCCAAAATAAAAATAGCCGAACAGGACATGATGCCAGTAATCGTATAGCTCCTATGTGGATAATATCATCAGACAGTAAATAACAACCTGAAATTTGTCTCGATAAAAGTGTAAATCACATTGGAGACAACATCGAAATAAGTAAATACGTGAAGGGTGGTCTAAAATTATGACTTTCCCTCAGCCACATTATCAACGATGCTTAAAAAGCCCTACTGTACCGGCATCTCGCGAACACATAGTGCTTAATATATCGTGCAGCGGCTATCATTGTAATCTCAAATCGCAAACTTTAATTCGTTATACCCAAGAAATTTTTTGTTTTTTTTAAAAAAAACAACAAAAAATTTCTATCCACTAGAAATAGAGTTAAGTCTCTTAGCACAGAAATATATGCTAACGGATTTAACTCTTGGAAAGCACTTTCAGAATTCTGCTGGCTACAGAAATATTTTTCACTTGTCGAAATGATTGACGAAGAAGATGAAATAAAGTTGGTATGTGTAGCTCAACTAGTTCTATTACTCAAACAGTGAATTATGTGTCCGATATAGTTCAGAGAGCTGATTGTGGACACTTCACAGGGACCAATTTCCATTGACCAGTGTCAGCAAGAACAGACTCCGTGCATTTCAATCTGTTAAGCATATTTCTCAATTAGCAAGTTGTTTGGCATCAAACTACAAAAAGCGCTCTTCTTGGAATTTTAGGAAGTGCAGTGAGTTTCTCGATTCAATCAGAGATGATTATCGCCAGCTGTCGTTTACAGTTCGATCGAGAAATGTTTTTTTATTTCTATACAGAGTAAATGATACTTCAAAAAAGCAACTTTCTCGATCAATCAGATCATGACACATCCATTTATTGAGCTTTTTCATTTCTTCAATGTCAAGTGACCATGGAGAACGGCGGTTTTTCGTTAATTTGCTGTTTTTGGATAAGAAGATCAGTTTCGATGACTGTTCTCAGCCAATCTGTTAATTTTCGATGACCTATCACTGCATTCCTCATCCTCAAAATTCTCACTCCATTCGCATAACTTTTTGAGCCATAACTGCATTGTGCATTCGTAAAACAGTCCCTGAGCCAAATATATGACTTCTCCTCATTACTTTATCATCAATTTTAAATTCATAGAAGGAATCATTCTCGTCTAATACCATTTCTTCTCCTGCAGTAATAATACCACGATGAATGAGAAACGGTAACCAACACTAACCGAGTAACAACGGCCCGTAAAATATCGATCGGCCTAGTAGCTGTATCTTCAATGGAGGGTCGGTTGTTAAGTATGAATTTCGGTTGAGGTTAATGGATTTCGTTTTTTCCGGCTAAGGCTATTTGTAAGATGCCATTTGATTTCATCGCTTACAGTGAAAGATTTCTCTGTATTCCGATCGTCGGTATGTCCATGTCATTATTAGCACTTCACTTCCGATCAGTGAAATACGCTAAAATGACAAACTTCGTTCCTCTTTGTTTTTCTATGTTATATAAATGCCATAACAGCATAGTAGTAATTGTTTTGTCACGCAACAAAGAAGATAGAGTTATTTTATATTTGTTAAATCTACCATTTTAGACATCTGAAATAGGAACATTATATATTACAATCAAATAATGAACGTAATCAAGAAAAGTATCGAGGACAATGAAGTGAAAAGGGAAGTAGATCGGGATAGCACACGGCGTTTATTTATACATCGACAGAAAAATGGGTGTGTTTACTCTCAAAATTTAATATTGGATAAATTATCGGTTTGGGGAGTAATACTTTTCCACTTTGTATAACAGAAACAAATTCACATTCAGTGGATTTAAACATGTGGACTTAAATTTAAAGTAAATAAAAACGACAAGATTTTCAAATCAAATATTTCCAGCATGCGGCAAGTGTCATCTCATAAAATCGCAGTCGATACTTTGGCGTATGTACGGAAGATTATAAGTCTCGGAAAATACAACAGTGCTGAGTGAGTAAGATCAGCTTGAAACAGATTACAAAAAGAAAATAAGCATGACTGAGTTTTGTAATTACTTTTAGTATATCTCTGACGTGTCGTAAAATACATATTGAGATCATCCCATTTAGCCAATTACAATGATAATCACTCGAGAAATCCTTTTCAGAGATCTCATTGAGTTGCTGGAAACCGAAAGAAAACGTTTATTGGAAGCATTGCCGTATCAGTTTGTTGTTTCAAACATTATATTATGTGTAATCAAGATGATCTGTGAAGAAAACGGTCAAACTAATGCTGCATTTGGAAATCTAATACCCCACGATTCCTTAAATGTTCGTTACTTTTGAATTTAAAGAATGTACAATACACTTTTGATATAGTAGTGAAAAGAAAAATTTAATTTTTCTGTATTCCAAAACTTAGTAATATCATATTGTAGGAACTGTGGAAAATTCCGGGTAGTAAAAAAATCATGGACCCACGAGAACTTCGAAAATCAGCTGTTATTGCTATCAATGAATTTGCAACCGAAATCGATACTTGTATCGAAGATATATGTGCTCAGGTACAAGTTTTCATTCAAGAACAGCCACAAAGAAATATTAAATATGCTCAATCTAAATTTTGATTTGAAATTTCTTCCTTGATACCAGACCATTTTCCAGCAAATGTTCATGATTACGATAACCACAGTCGCTATTCATAAGTCACTGACAAATACTGCGTAAGATATCAAATTCGTGAAAAATAATTCATTTAACACAATATTAACTTTGTACGCAATACTGTTCGAGTGCTATTTTTAAAATTTATTTCTGCTGTTGAATTCTTCTCTTTATTCACTGTTCTTATAATCGTAAATAAAGAAAAAACACAGATTGCTTTCTTTTATAGGCAAGTAACCACATCTGTGCATCCGATGTTATCATAACGCATTCATTGTCGCTCTCATCTACACTTACGTCTTTCTTCCAATCAGCTCGTAAAGGCCAGAAAAGTTTCCGGTTGCTAGCAGTAGATGAAGAAGTTGATTGTGATTGTATATCATCAGTGGATGTTCTAACTGCTATGCAGCGTGCTACCCGAGTTTTTATCTCCGCTGTCGCTGTATTCCCGGATGGTTCTTGTTTGGCACCAGCAGGTACTGTTTTATTTTATAGCAGATATTACAAAAACTTGTTTTATTTTATGAGGTTGGGAATATAACTTTTTTATTTTTTAGAAGCTAAATTTAATATTTTAATGCAAAAATGTTTCAGGATGTCTGATCATATGTTTAGCAGCTAAACGACATGCAGTACCAGTTTCAGTTTGTGCTTCTTTTTATAAATTTACTCCTTTTTTTGTAGCAGATATTGATCGTATACATTCTTTTGGTTCCTCCACTGATGTGATACCGTTGACAGATATGAAAGAAATAGAAGATGCTCAGATTGTGAATCCTTTGTTCGATTTGATCTCTGCAGAACTTATATTACAGTACATATCACATACATCTACCTTCACTCCCTCCCACGTTTACCGTTTTATTGGAGATTATTACTGCCGTAATCGCATTGAAATGTCGTTGTAGATACAATTTATTCGACAAGGAATTGTTCATTATTTTGTTATCATTAAAGTGAAGTTTTATAAATGTTACTTTATCGATGGTATATTTAATGCATATGATGATTGAGACTGTTTTATAGCAAAGTTCCAGTCCATATCATTAGAAATACATGCTTTTTATAGTATGCTATTGCAGAAAAGTACAGTATTTATATATTACGTGCCGAATTATTTTGCTTTCTATCTGTGGTACGTATAAGTGCTTGTAGGGTTCTAGTATATAATGATATGCGATTGATCCGCAATACACTTCAGTAGAATGAATATCTTTTCATATCTTTGTTAGTCTATTCGAATTAGTTTATGAAGAACATTATGCCTAAGTAACAAATCTTAACCATGGTTTTTACGAATCGGCTGATATATTTCATATTCTAATTTTTCCGTTCAATTTTTTTCCGCTGACGTACCCATTTATTTGGTCAAAATCTCTTTTAATTCAAGGGGTCTTGTATTCCTTTGATCAGAGTTAACCAATAACACTGATACGATTAGACGACTTTCTAATGCTGCTGGAAACTTTGATAGTGATAGATCGCAGTCTAAGATTTTCACATCAAATACAGGTTTCCGGCTTACAGATCGATGGCAGAGCCGGGTGATGCAGTACGGGTAGATGATGTGGAGAGCAGTAGTAACGATGAAGAAGAGGATGAGGAGGAAGACAGTACAGAATGTGATGAAAGTTCAGCTGAAGAAAGCAGCAGTGAAGATGAAAGTGAAGAGAGAAGTAGCGATGATGATGGAGTTGATGACATCAATGTTTGGGATTCTATAGATGACGGAGCACAAACTGAAGAAGCAGTTGTGAGTTTTGTTAATCCTATATGTATATAGAACAATGTACGAAGGTAATGAATAGGGAATAAATTAATTGCAGGAAGCTTCACTGCAAGCGGATTATACAAAGGCTCTTAATCTTATCGTAGACGGTCGCAAACAAAAAGCGCTTACAATAATGGAAAAACTTCTTCAACATCCAATTCTTCAAAAGTTTGAAGTCAGCATATTAACTTACCATTTTCTGATTCCATAGATGTAGACTGTTCTCTCATCTTTTTTTCTGTTTTAGATTTCAACTAATTTAATTGGTTTGTAAAATGGCTGCTGAATACTTCAATAATATAATATTACATGATGGTGTGGAAAATCATTTTCGAATATTAGTTATAGATTCTGATTTTATTATTACTCAGATATTTGATCAGCTTGTTGTTTGTGTGATATGCCATTCATTATTTTATAGGTTAATATCAATTCGTTCAACTGGAATGAAGCCAGGGAAGAAGCTTGTGCAAATCAGTCTCGTGTATCGGCTATGGCTCGCCTTTTCTCTTCCTTACACTTCAATATCAGTCGACTTTTAGACGATCCAATAGATCACTTGTTAAGCGTAAATTTTATCTTAATAATCTTAATTGATCCATATTTTTTGTTTTCATCATCATCTTTTTTCTGTGTTCCTTTGGTAAATGAAGTTAATCTTTCGGCAATTAAGAATTGATACAGTAATTTATTACTTTAATTTAATTTATTACTTTAATTTATTTTAGCTAAAGTCGATTTTCTGATATGTTTTGCTTTTTAGACAAAACGGTCCAAGTTATTACCAAGATTTCTGCTTTTATCTTTCCATGTTGCAGACATTAACCGTATATCCAAATGATGAATATTTATGGAAATATGTAGGAGAAGAATCCCTGAAAGTACGGGATTGGTCTATGGCATTGTATGCATTCGGAAAGTGTTCATCTGCTTGGAGTGTTATTCGCGGGATTCTTATCGCCTTGTATAACGCTAACCTGTTTGAAGGTTTTTAATCTTTTGTTAACTGTTGCTAAGATTCGAAGACTTATGTGCTCATCTATTTTATGAGATGCAATGCAGTTTGAGATCCCAAGTTTTATTTCGCATTTAAATGCTGTCTCATATTTTTTTATAATTGAGGCTAAATACTCTGAAAATATTTAAGTGCACAAAAAGAATAAAATATTTTGTAAAATTAATTTATTAAATATTGTTCCAATATTAGTAAGCAGGAGATTTGCACAGATTGATAACGAGGTTCCAGTCATTTTATGCAATATATACTATGTATTGCAGTTACATTTTAATTAAGATTAAATTGCTTTCACTGGGGAGAGGCATGATGTACCACCTATCAAACCTTAAATTGTTTTAGATTGTCTCCTGAAAATAAAATCTGTATTGGAGTACGATAAGACATATTTTTTGGGACGAGTTTTGAAAGAAATCATTCGAGAAACGAGTTCTTATTGGGAAATGAAATGTCGTCAGGTGTTCAACGAAGACCCGGTTTTTATACAGGATAATAACACTATGAAAATTACAGAGAAAGAAAAAGAATTGGTGAGTTTGGTCGGCTGTTTTTCTCAACTTGATTTATATTTTAATCTGCCAGTGATGCAAATTCGGTATTTTTTTCTGATTTTCATATTTCATATTTTCGTTATTTAATTCTGTTCTTATTTTATTTTATTTTGTATCAAAACAATTTAGAATGACATTTTGGAATGTGCTGTAAAAGCTAATTAATGTGCAGCTTAATTAAATTTCTTTTAAACGTGCAGTAATAGGAATTTGAAAAGGAATTTTTTGATAAAGGAATTTGAATAGCACTGACTATCGTTCAGTATTATTCAAGTTCCTCTTGTTCATTTGGTAAGTAAGCAATAGGTTAAAGCAAAGAAGTTTAGGAACTTTCGAAGCTAACTTAAGTAATATTTCCAAGAACAGTAAGAGCGGTTTTTTTAAAGATGCTAAAGTTTGTAGATGGTTGTTTTAAGGTTTTGAAATTATTTTTGAGATTATTTGCAGATTCTAAATGAAATCACAAATATTGGGAAATCTACTGCTGACGTTGAACCTGTGTTCAAACCGGTGGTGGTTGACATAAGCACTTGTTCAGAGTATGTTATTGTTTCTGTTAGTTGCAAAACATGGTCTCTTTTTTTACTTTTGTTAGTTCCCACATTTCTCGAATATTGCATTTTACTTTCAGCTTAGCAGAAGTAGGAATTTGTTTGTGCGATATATATGACCGCATCGAATCCTTCTCCAGTGTAAGTGGCTGACCACTTTAATTTATCCATGTTTCTGCGAGAATTATGAAACTGTACTTTCCATGCTAGTAACGTACTTAATTTACTAGGATTTCATATGCAATTGAATCAAGGTGACATGTGCAGACATCTGTGGAAGGCATAAAATTTCATTTCAATATTTGATTTGAGGAATTAAAATCTATCGAAATATTAAATATACTAGAATATGCTATCAACATATTTCTGCAGTTCTCAAAACAAGCTGTAATAGTATGTGGTACGAAAGTATTAGATGAGTTCGAGGAGATTGTTAACGATGTTTCTAATGATTTTATGGATTGTGTGAACGTGATGCAAGATTTGATTGATAGAATTGTGTCCATAGAAGCTATTCAACCTGCTTCAGATATTGTAAGTTGCGTTGATTTTTGCACAGTGTTTTAATTCATATGGATTTTGCAAAAAATGCGTACATGCTGCATGTAAGCGTCTTTTTGCAAGATATATATTAAAATAGCAGTTATTGATAAAAATTTACAATTATTGATGGTAATTATCTTCAGGGAAAGAAATGCTTATATTTGAGATTTCATTAGGAAGATGTAAATTCGTGGATTTATGAATAACTATTATAGCCACATCGATGCATAGTGTTTTGTTTTTGTTTCTCAGAAATTGCTAAGATAGTCATAATATCCAAGGGAAATTTGCCCAATTACGCTCTTATCCGTTTAGCACTACTCCCGACTGTAAATGAACTGATATGAATCTCGCGCCATTCCGCTCAGCTTCCATACCAGTTTACAGATTTTTCATCCCGAGGGATGAATGGGCCGTTCCCGGAGGTAGGTGCAATACCGGGTCGACCCGCGGTAGGTGAGGAGCAAGCCCCTACAAACCCACCAAGGTCTCAAAAATAGAATAATCTCGAAGTGATCGATTGATCACATATCAGAGATTAAGCTGATAAGAACAGATACTACACTTTGAAATACTACACTCGTATCACAGTAAGAGACCTACTATATTTGAACGGCATGCATTGTTGATGTTAAATAATGAGTGTGTTTACTGTTTCATGTACCTCTCAGAAAGCGAAAACGATCAGATTCCGGTTTGGACTGGAGGCGACGTTCTGTTCGTTTTCGAGCAGAATTTAATATTGAAGAATCCGGTTCAGAAAATGATAAGATCATGATTGCTTCAGTATGTTTATGAGTATATCTGTTTAGCATTGTACATAATTCAGCTTGGACTTACGTCTTTTATACTCTTTTCCTTATTAATTAGTTTGTCGTGTATGTTTTTTTAGCTACTGAATTACTCATGCGCACAAGAATCCTCGATTGTTCCGCTTTTATCGATGAAACCGTCTGCAATAACAGGTTTACCTGCAAAAAGAGCTCCATTGCATGTATTGATGGATGATAGATCGTCGCTGCGTAGATGCGTTATATACATTGCAAGTAGGTTTATCAACGGAAATGGACGAATTTATGAAATTTTGGAGCAGTTACTTTTCTGGTACTCGAGGAACTGCTTTTATGTTATTATTACGGATCGCTTACAAGAGGTACTTCTATCATTTTCATCGGAGCAATGAAAGTAATGAGAAACTGAAGTATGGGAGATGGTGAGGATGATGAGAAGAGAGATTTTATGGCTTTTAATAAACTATCAGTTCCAAATCTGTTGTTAGGACTGCAATAGATATCTAATGAGTTTTCCATAATTGGTTCGAAAACAAACATGAATGAAGTAGAAAAATAAGGAATACGAAATAATACAATAATTCGTAGGTGAAATTTGCTTATAGTGCTTCTAGTCCGTTGAAAATGAACGGCTGATAGATTAAGTGCAGAATAAAAAAGATGATATATGATGATGACTTGGTGTGATAATATTGAATATCGAACACTTACATATTGATGTTTAATTATCTCTTCACTGAAAGGGAATTATATTCATAGGCTATACTACAATTACGGTTTTGCTTCGGACTGCTGAAAAAAACTTACTGTTCACTTGCTTATCAGTTTACTCATTCATTAGGTTTCAACAGTTTAGCTTATAGATGGTATTTTTTGAACCTCTTTCAGTATTTTCAGATAAATCCTTCTATTTTCGATATTACTTAATTAACTGTTAGCACTCGAATTTAGGAGATTGATAACTTTTCCTAGCATCAGTGTTTGTCTTAATTGTCAGAAATGCTAATTTTTATTTACTGATTATGCTTGATTTGATTGATTCTTTAATCCTATAACTGTGCATCGGGAATTCGTTCAAAAAAGATCATTAATTTTGTTGGAAAAATATTGCTTTATTTTTTTGTTCAGGTCATTATTGGTTGTTATGCTCGATGGATTAATAAATTTGGTAATACTTCAATGATTCGTGGCGATGAATTTCTTCCTATTCATACGATGTTGGCTGAATTAGGCGTCGAAAAAGCCATGTTTGTTTGTTACTCCTCACTTTCTTCATCTCTGGAGCAGGAATTACGTGTCCGAATACTTTGGTCAATTGCAGTAAATGGTACAAACATTTTCAGTCCTCAGGTACAATGCTTTTTTATAATTTTTTTATTCAAACTATCTGTAGATTACTCAAAGTCGAGGTTTCCTTCTACTAAAGTCGAAGTTTTTTACCTTCTACTTATACTTATCTGGTCCTTATATTCGGCACTTTTCAGGTTTGTAAAAATTATTTGCGGATGTTATTGACTACATTAAAATTTGGATATAATTCTGAAGTCAATTACCAATCACTGATTAGTGACCATGAATTAATCAACTTGGACACAGTTCAGAATCTCATTGCTCAGATAGAACGGCAGGAAAATCTTGAAGCTATTCAACGATTGTTTGATAGTCGTCAGTTTGATAAGGTAATTTATACAGCAAACATTTGTAGAAAGAAAGTATGGTGTATTCTAGGAATTTGGTAATCTTTTCAAAGAAAGAACAGTTGAATAAGAAAGTATTTCATGTAGGAAGTGATTGTTATAATTTTTTGTATTCTGTGAATCTAAAAGCGCAATTTTTTTCACCTTGTCATGTTAACCTGGAAATTATTTTTGCTCTCCTTTCTCTAGCAATGATTCTAATTGAAAAAATGAAATCGATTTGAAGCTAAATTTTAAATTCGACCAGTTGTTTAGGTCGTTAACATTATCATCGGCAACTTTAGTTGGAAAGATGTTGATCGCAATGCTCTCCTTTCTACAGCAATGATTCTAATTGATTCATATCTTGAACTAAACAATATGGATGGTGCTTCTGAATGGATTAGCAGGTAAATTTGACATGTAGGAGATTCAAAATAATTTATAATGAAATTATTTGGAAATTGCAGATTGCTAGATTTTACTAGAGGCCTTGCTGGAACGGAGAAAGTGATTTCAAGGTTGAAACGACTTGCTATAGAAAACATATGCCTAGAAAATATTTCTAATCTAGTACACTGCATTGTTCATCTCCTTGTTCTCGATGGATATGAATCAGTATGTATTACTTCAGATATTTGCGAATTCATATTCAGTTGTGGGAAATAAATTTGAGTATGTCTAAAATTTACAGTGATCTTTTCAGGATACAGCTATTTGGCTTATACTGTACCGTTGTGCTTACCATCTGGAAGGAGAGCACACAGTGGAAACACTATCCGCATTATACGATAGCGGTTGTCAAATGCTTACTTCTGCATTGAATATCCTAGTCACTGCACATGAAGCGATAGCAAAGCATGACAAATGCTTCGTTGATGATGTATTCTTTTTTCTGAATTCCCAATAGTTAAAATTTTGAAGCTGAATGAGATTTATTTTATTGGTAGCCACTTTGTTAGGTTTGCTTTCCTTTTTTCTTCCTTTAGTTACGTAGTTTTTTTTAGTGTTGTTTTATAATAATGTTGTTTCTCGTAGGGGGGCTATAAGTACTGTTTTTACTAATCGTATTGGGGATTTTTGTATTTTTTTGTTTTTTAACGGTTTTGTTTTGTTTTCTTTGGGTAGTATTTCTTATCAGTTTTTTGGTTCTTTGGTTGTTTTTATGTTGTTTGTTTCTGCTTTTATTAAGGGTGGGCAGTATCCTTTTGGTAGCTGGCTTCCTAAGGCTATGGCGGCTCCTACTCCTGTTAGTTGTTTGGTTCATAGCAGTACTTTAGTTACTGC